CCCCCCTGGACCCCCCAGCTGCGAGGCTTCTGCCACTAGCACTTGCTGCTTGGAGCGCACCGACTGGTCGCACCACGCGCATGGGGGTTTGTTGTCGCCGCTATTGCAGTCCTCTGCGCTGGATAAGACGCTGCAGGCTGCGTCAGCTGCCGCCGCTCTGATCAAGGCGGGTCTGAGGGCGTCGTCTGGCTTTGGGGCAGTGAGGGCTGCGACGATGAACAGCGGATGGACGTCGCACTTCCTGGACCATGTCTCGTTGTTGTTCCAGGAGCACTGTAGTGTTGAGGCGACAGAGGGGTGGCACGGTGAGTTCGGCGGAGCGCACCAACAGCACACGCACGGGTACGAGCGGCTCACGGGAACGAGCGGTGTGGTGTGCGCTCATGGATTAAGCCATTTTTTTGACGTCCACAATCAACAATCACCTGAGCGCCAGGTATGATACCCTTCAAAAGTTGGGTGTAGCGTCCTCGAGGCGCTTCTGCAATGACAGGACGTGGTACCTTCGATTTTCTCGGAGCAGCACTCACCAATGTACATATCACAATGAGGGCCAGCAGGCACAAAAAGACCTTGCGGCAGATCATTGCTTGTTTTCCATTACGATATCATAATGCTGCAATTGCGTTTTCATCGACGATTTTTTTTGAAAGCAAGTACGTGTGCGCCACATTATTGACGACACTGCGCAGTTGGCCTGGGTGCCCTTCCTCGCAGTGTGAGTCAACATTCACACCTGTTCATGTGGTCCCCCGCTTCGTAGCCCTCCGCAGCCCGTGCGCTATCCTCGCGGCGGCTGTTTTGAAGGCGATCAGTACTTGCTTTAAAGCCGCACACGGCGACTCTAACACGCCACCACCACAAGTAATTCCACACATTCCACGGTCAGCGCCAAAAAGCTGTCATGAGCCAAACCAATGGCAATCAATGGGACGAGCTTCCCTCAGGTGGGGTGAGGCTGCCTTGTTCGGATAATTGCGAGAGAATCAAGCCGCCGCAAGGTGCCTCCCCAGTGTGTGGAGTAGGCCCAAACAGGCTGGCTTCAAGAAAACTGCTTGGTACTGCGCATCGCCCCACTCGACCAGAAATGTGGTGCTCTTACTGGCGCGATAGATGATGGTTTTATGAAAGGATGGACAAGAAGCAGGCAGCAATTGCATGAATAGCGATGATGATGGTGGTCGCCTGCACGCCAGAGCAGGGCGGCCGGCAGTGGGCACGCGACGCCCGCGGTGCTGCCGTGGCTGTGCGGGAGCGCAAAGACGCATGCGTAGCCGATTGTAAGGCGGCGGATCGCCACCAATGCTTGTTTTGTCGGGCACCACAGTTGGAAAAAGGTGGTGGCGGCCACGAAATCGGCCCAGAGGTGTGCAGCGCTTGGAAGTGCAGTGCAAGCGTATGTGAATGGAGCTGTGATTGCAGCTGAGCGATGCATGGCAGGCCTGGCGGGAGGCCAAAAGAGCACGCCCCTTGCCATCAATGAAGCGCATCAAACACATCCGGAGAGGCTGTCCTGCACCTGGCCCACCTCAGGCCCCGGGCACAGCCAGCCCCGCCGACGTTGCGATCCCCAAAACCCAACTGCACAAACTGGGCAGCGCCCGCACATACGCCACGGCTCGCGGGAGGGCCGCTTGCTGATCACTCACCACTAAATCACGGCGCCCACATGCCCCACGAGATTATACAGGTCGCCTTTTCAGCGAGCCAGTTAGTAAGACCGCTCGCGGGGATTGGGCCCCATGGCAAGGCGGCCGCCCGGCCGCGAAGCCGTACCTGTAGCACCCTGTCCCCGTCACCCCGTCAGGCCGCCTGGCCTGACGGTGACAGGCTCGCCCCTGTCCCTGTCAGCGCCTGTTCTGGCTGTGCACGACCAACGAAGCTGTGCCCCTCAAGGCAGCCAGGCCGACGGGCCTGGCGGAGCATAGGCTGCCGCGTCAGCGCCTGTCGTCGTCAGCGCCTGACCTGGCGGCGCCTGTCCTCGTCAGCACCTGTCCTGGCGGCGCCTGTCCTCGTCAGCGCCTGTTTTGGCTGCGCACGATGTCTGCAATGTCGGGGTTCCCCTCCTCACTGTAACCGGGCGGCGCGAGCGTGACGCCCCACGACGCGCCAGTCTTGGGGCCGGCACGCAGCGCGTCGGCGGCCCACTCCCCGTGGCGGCCGGCCTTGAGGTGCTGCTCGGGCTCCAGGTGGGCCTGCGGCAGGGTTTAGGGGCTGGTGTGGCTGGGTTCAGGGGCCGGCTGTTGAAGAACCAGAACGGATTGGTCAGTCAAAGGGCTGGTAGTGGTTTTGGAGGGGTTTTTGGTTTTTGTTGCAGCGCTGCTTTACTGGGGTGTACCACAAGCTGGCGGGCGCTCCTGCAAACGGGCTAGGCCCCAGGCCGCATTATGCGCACGACGCGGGCAGGCCAGACACGCGACCCCGCGATGCCCCCGCAGTTCGCAAAAGGACGCCCGCAAGCCCCCGCGCGCCTCAGCGGGGCGCGCCCCCAGCGTTAATCTGCCTCGCCGCGTAGATCGCAAAGTGATCGTGCGGACCACCAGCAAGCCCGCAGGGCCGCCCACCTGCTCTGCATCTGCATGGTATGGCAGCCGCCGCTGCGCCAGAAGACTGGGGTCCACCGCGCCCCCTGGGTCGTGCCGCGCGTGCTCCCAGCCCTCCACCCTCCCCATCAGCGCCGCCC